ACCGGCTGGATCAAGCAAGGGGTGTGCATAAACCACTACCTGGACAACATCTTATTGCTCAGTCAAGAGCGAAGTCAGCTGCTGGGTCACCAAGATCTGGTACTGTCGACTTTCAAGGACTTCGGATGGCTCGTCAATTTCAAGAAAAGCCACCTGGTACCTACTCAGGACCTAGTCTATCTAGGTGCTCGGATAAACATGGCTCAAGCCTCAGTCTCTTTGCCTCCTGCAAAAATCCCGACCATCCACAAGTGTGTGACGGCTGCTCTTTCTCCAACCTTCATGACTGCCAGACAATGTCTTCGAGTGGTGGGAACTATGATTTCGGTGATCCCCATGGTGAAGTGGGCCCAGTGGAGAGCTCGACTATTCCAAGTGGGATTCCTGAGGCGTTGGTCGATGGAACTTCTGGATCAGAAGATCCGGGTAAGCTCATCCATGAAGGAGAGTTTGAATTGGTGGCTGATGCCTCTTCAGCTTCTGTGCATAATTAAATTTCTCCTCCTTTTGCATTACCCTCCCTGGTGTGTCTAGTTATTTCCCATTTGTGTGCTGCCATGGAGCTGTCAGGGAAACCAGGAAAATTGTATTTCATATTTAACGCAATTTTCCTTTCCTGACTAGCTCCATGGCAGCACAAGATTTGCCCGCCCGGTCGGAGGTGCTAGTAACGTAACGCTGAGGACTGGGGGGTGCTAAAATTTATGAGTTAAACGTCCTATTAGAGTGGTAGGGAGGCGGGGCCATCCCATTTGTGTGCTGCCATGGAGCTAGTCAGGAAAGGAAAATTGCGGTATGTATGAAATACAATTTTCCTGGTTTCTCATCTCAAGGTCACGAAGTGCAATAGTCCACCTGACTCTTCAGCAGACCACATTTAGGTGCTTGCTTTTGTGTTCGAAGTATTTGTATTGCTTGTTTTCTCTGTTTGGATTGCACTTGCACTCAGAAAACATTTACTAATAAATATGGTCTCATTATCACATGGCGAGCACAAGATGTGATTAGGGTTGTTTTTCCTTTCCTGGCTCATGAAACTATGAGACTTCAGATTATTGTAATTTCACCAACATGCCTTTATGAAGCAGTCGTGGCCTTTGTTTGCAGTTTTCATATTTCTGTAGACATCCTTAAAGCTAAACTCCAGGCACAAATAAATTAATTTAAACATATTTCTTAAAAGCCATAGATGATATAAATCCACTTTTTATGCTCCAAATGTCTTTGTAAACACAGATATTACCTTGTAACAGTAGCAGTAACATCATCACTGTGCAGCACATAGTCTGGGCAGAGAGCAGAGCTGTGGGAGGGACCCAGCAGGTTCACCCACTGCAGGCTGCCTGCAGAAAACTACAGGAGGGTGGATACAAGACCAGTCACCCTGCACAAGGACAGAGAACCGCAGTGACCAGTCTTTATTACAGCAGCAAGTTCCTGCACAGAGGAAAATGTTCATGCTGGATTACTGCACAGATCTGGAAGGAATACACTAAGCTCAATACTATTCAAGTTAGAATAGACATGTTGTTTGTATTTATGTGCAATATGTGCATATCTGAGTTCAGCTTTAATATTAATGAGCAAGACTTCATACATCTGTGTGTTTTCAGCAGATATGTAAATATAATTCTCTTTAGTTATTATTATTTAACAGACTGGAACATATCTTCAAGGTGCTGGGATACACCTATCTCTGTGCCTTTAAGGAGGAATGGGCTACCTTCAGGCATAGCTGCCCTTAATGTATTCATTGCTATATATGCTCCAACATGAAGGCTCTATAAACTTGAGTTAGGGACCACACTTTATAGAAGGGCTCTGACAAAGCAGTGTAGCTTCCACATATATTTGCAAATATCGTGCAGCTAAAACCTACTTTTATCACAAATTGTTAATCCATGTAAAATTGTTTTTGGTTTTTAGATTAGATTACATTGCAAAGTATTACACAGCAGACAGTGGAGGACAGTTGAATGTTTGGTTATCTGACCTACAAATAATTTCTCCCATCTACATATTTGATATAGTTACATACATACTCATAATCCCTGAAAATAAACAGACAATACTTTGGCTTATCTCACATAAGTGGTAACAATAAAGGCTAAACAATTCGACACAGTGGTGTAGTGGTTAGCACTTCTGCCTTGCAGCACTGGGGGTCCCAGATTCACACCCAGGTAAGGACACTATCTGCAAGGAGTTGGAATGTTCTCCCTGTGCTTGTGTGGGTTTCCTCTGTGTAATCTGGCTTTCTTCCCACACTCCAAAGACATGCCAGAAGGTTAATTGGCTCCTGTCTAAATCAGCTCTGTATGTATGCATGTGAGATAGGGAGATCAGATTGTAAACTCCTTGAGGGCAGAGACTAATGTGAATGTGCTGTGTACATTGTTGGTGCTATATAAATGGCAATAATAAAGAAATAAATTCCAGCCCAGCTAGAAGTCTTTCCCAGATAAAGTCCCCTTCGCCCCCCCCCCACTCCCGACCTGCGTCTGTCTT